ATATTATTTATTTATCTTTTATACAATGTAATTACAATAGAAATATGTAGGTTTAAATACAAAATTCTGTAAATAAAGATTAAAAATAAACTCCACTGGCTTGTTACCACTACACTACAAGTTTACAATCAACTTTATGAGGTAATTTAGTTCCCTGGTTCTGAAGAAACCCAGATTTTGTCGTGGGGGAGAAAGTGTGGACATAAAGACCAGGGCAAGAGAGCAGAAGAAATTCATCCATTCATCGCCATACAACATATAACGCTTGGCCAAATTACAAATGCAATGCTTTAGAGTAAAAAAAAAAAAAGATTCATTGTGCCACAAAAGACCTGCTTAACCCTGTTTTAAACAAAAGATTTAAAAATTCAGGTGGTCAATTTGTAACACATTTACTGTCAAAACAGCCTTTTGAAACGGGAGTTAAGAACATTGTGCCTGCCTTGAATGTCCTTTGCTGTGAATGTTTTAGTCTGGAGTTGACTTTAACTGAGCACAGTGTGCAGTCTGACTTTGATCGTCTAGCTTTCCAGAAAGGCCATCTGATTCACACACACACACACCTGCGTGATATTTTCACTTAGAAAAACTATAACTGTGCAACGCGTTCCAGAAAACATGAATGAGAAAGATCTAGGTTTGATTCAGATTAAAAGCACAAGCTCTTATTACGTAGAGTGTGTGACATTGTTCCCTGCAATCAAAGACAATTATTCCCTTTCTTAAGCAGAGTAAAACAGTGGTGGTACAAAATGAAAGCCAAGACTATTATGCATATTCTATGTTTTAACATACTGAAATATGAGATATTTTAAGCATGCATGGGCGGGACTAAAATGACTCCGTCCCTTTAGGAGTGCGTGTTGTCGTTCTGTTTTCACTGCTTGCTAAAAACGAACACTATAAAAACTTCCATCGTTAGCATTTCTCCGATACCTCCTAGCCATTCTACTGCCCTAAAATGGTCACAATCTTGCCTAAATACATTCTTGACAACTGAAAAACCACATGATTCCATTGAAGTTAATTTTAAGCCCAAAGTATACTTCAGTTTTTATGCTTTTGTCAGCATACGTGCCTATATTACATGGCGTACACAAAAAAGAGCCCATATTCCAATTTTGAAGTTGATATCACAAAAAACTGCCATTTGTGCGAGGCTTTTTTTAGGTGTTACACCAAAATTAGCCACCAGGGGACATCCTAATGTGTTGTCCAATCACACAGTAAAACATTGGTTCTGTTCCACTTTTAAACACGCACTCGAAAACTTCCCTTCCCTTGAGGAAACCCTGACACTGTCTTAAAGTGTGTTCAATTTGATCAAGTGAACGAGTTTACATGGATATACCCACAATCCCTCGATTATGACAGAGGGATCAAGTGGACTTCATATGTCCACTCAAGCACCGATATGTCCCAGAATGCAATGTGATTGGGACATCACAACAGTGTAGCTACCTAGTGCTCAAGGGTTTAGGACATTCCATTTAAACCCAGTCAGATGTTCCACCAGTGGAACAAGATCTTGTGTAACGTGACCAATGACATACATCAGAGTGAATGAGACGGAGGGAAGTTAGCGAGTGAAGAGCGTAAAAAATTGTATTGGAATGCAGCCATTGAGTAGTCTTGAGTATCTTTTCCAACTGATCAATTCAATGTTGACACCTTGTGGACAAACTAAGTAATGCAAAATCAAATTCGAGCTGAGGAAACAATCTCTCCTCATCTAATTAGGCATCATTTGGACCATTTGCATGCTTCCAAAATATATAGTATGCAAAAAACAGTACTTCTGAATTCATAGTATTTAAAAAACAGTGGACGAGAAGAACCTAGCTGACCTACAACTTCCAGCAACACTCTGATGGTTAGGGTTTCAAATTTATGAATGGTAGTAAAGAGGCACAACTGATGTTTGTAGTGGATATAGTACCTCCGAATTCGACATATTCTATACAAATACAATGCAGAACGTTCTTTTTTAACAGCCCTAAAAATGTAGAACTTACTTTAGCCTGATGTATACTTCTGCATTGTGTGATTTCTATAGTCCACAGAGCACACCGTGCACGTAGCCAAAGCCATTATGAGCATTACACTTTTGGATTCTGTCTGTGTTGCTCTGCACTCACACTTTCAGAATACTAGTAAGCATTGTTTGGTGGTATTTTGGGGGTTAGGCCATAAATGTCAGCCTAATCTCATGAGAAAACGTAAGTATTTTTACGTTTTATCAGTTCAATTCGCACAATTTGTATGTGTTCAGTCGTACGAAAATGTACCATTTTAAAAAGTGGCACTCAAACCCACCCCTAAACCCAACTATCATTGAGTAATAAGCAAATCGTACTAAATTGTACGAATTAGATCATACAAATTCATACGAATTAGCCACTAAATTGAAAAAAGTTACAAATTGTGGGATTGCATTGGAAACGCATTTAATGCTACTGTAGCAGTAGATTGAATACACACTCACTCAAGAAAGAAATGGGAACCGTTAAACGTTCAACAAATTGAATCATAAAGTAAACACAAAACAAAAGCATCCATTTAAAGGGTCATGAAACACCAAAACATTTTTTAAAATGTTGACAGTCATATATGTGTCCCATACTGCTAAAAACACTATTAAGGACACAAATATTTCCCTAAAAAGTAAAAATTGGTAGTTTTTGCGTTACTTCGAGCATATTCGTACACTGGTTTGAAACTAATATTTGAAGCTGCGTCACGGCCATGAGATCCTAGCATGTATTCCAGCGTGTAGACTGGTCGTCTGTACCTGGGAGTGCCTTATTTCATCTCTGAGTGTGCTGCAATAATGCATGAGTAAGACTTGGTTCAAACCAATCAGCACGCTCTATTGTGTATGTTTTTACCTGTTACAGTGTTCCGATGGCAGAGAGATAACACGTTGTGTTGCCAAAACAAGCGTGCAGTGTTGCTTTTATAATTTGCTGCAGTGAATTGAAGCTCTCTATGAGAGCGCAGCTGGACTCACGTGTGGATTACAGTGCACACAACGCTCGACAACAATACCTGTCTAAAGAACATTGTTTACCCGAGAGCTTTTCTCATCTGGAAATGGTGAGATCTGGATTTGCTGCTCCTCTCTTTTTTATAAAGATGCTGCTCTAGTTGGTGTTGATTGTCCTGACTCTACAGATTTGGTAAGTGAGCGACCAGTGGTCTTTGTTTGTTTATTCAGATGGCAAAGTTAAATCGTATCGTCAGCAATACTCTTTCAGTGTTTAAAGACGGACCTAAAGTTACTAAAGTTTACCGTACGTTAATATCACTACAATATTATGGACTGAAAGATCCGCTGTAAATGCTGCTCTCCGGGTGTAAACATGTTAGAATGAAAGAGCCAAACTGCGGTTAAAGTCCACCATTTAATAATGTGTCAAATAATTTAATTGCTGATGTCCATATAAACAGTCGTTGTCTTTCTCCCCTGTGTGTGTGTGTGTGTGTGTGTTTGTGTGTGTGTTTTGCCTCAGTGAAAATCAGCGCTCCCATTTTTATGCAATTTTTTCGACTTTCCCACTTTTGCTCCTCCGACACTCCCCCCTAAACAGAGCTGGATACGCCCACTTTCCTGATTTTTTCCAAAGTAAAGGTGTGAAAAAACCCTGCTGAAACAGGGGTTTCATGGCATTCATGTCATCAGCCTCATTCCGCTTCCATGGCTCTCACAATAATCACTGCTGCCAAGCCGACCAATCACAGATCTTGCACTCCGCTTTTTTGGTGTTATGAAGTTGTGTGTGTGGTTGTGGCAGAGTATGCAAAGGTTATGCTGGACCTAATATGTGCAGAAATATCAACTGGCCGTTCAAGAGTTCACACTTAGCTTGGCATGCTGCCCCGGGAGAGAGCCCTGAGCTCAAAAGATCCTCGAGCCCGGGGCTCCCTCTTATTGCAAGGCGAGAGGGGAGTTTGAGCTCTGGTAGAACTCGAGAACTCCTCTGCTGTAGTAGCTAATGAACATATAGTGCTTGCTCTTTAGAGATAACTACTTACTAAAGGTGCATGTCTATAGTTCCGATTTTGATTAGTCAATTAACTTAAGTTGCATGTTTTTGGACGGTGGGAGGAAAGCGGAGGAAACACATGTGAGCACGGGGAGAACATGTAAACTCCGCACAGAGACGTCGGCTGGTTGGGTAATGACCAGAACTAAAGACGTTCCTACTGTGAGGCAACAGTGCTAACCACTGGGCCACCGTACCCTGTCTAGGAAAGGAGGAGGAGTAGGGGTGGAAGGGGGATTTTTCAAAACAAAGACGACTGTGGTATGAAACCTAGGGTATTTATAGTGGCTAGGAATTGTCTGATTGGGGAATGATAAATTGGATAATGCGGGACCAGCCGCAAGCAATCATGAGCGTGATCCTTTCGAAATTAGTTTATCAATAAACTTCACTAAGTAAGCGCTGTTAGAAGCTTCTGTAGTTTTTCTCAAACTATCTTGAATCAACATACCAGAATGCCAACATGTGGACAAAATAATTAATAAAAAAAATTTTGATGTGCGACCTGCATACTAAGTTTTGTACAATTACATAAACCAGGTGATGTATGTACAGTACATGCGTCCTATTCAGATAAGGTAATTATATCATGCACTGTAAGCAGACCCTCATGTTAAACTCGTTAAAAACTGAAGTACACTTTGGTTGAACAGATTTGTACATTTTAACATTACTGGCCAAACAAGTACAAAACTTTTGCGCTCAGAAATGTTCCACATATACAATTACAGATGCAAGGACACTCTGGTGGCCTTTCGGTCTGGTTTTTGCATCGCGTTACGAGTCTCAATAGTATAAACAAGGTTGGAATGTGTTGTTGGTGGAACTTTTGGTATTCAGAGTAAATAGTTCACAATTTGGAATCAATGAAACAAGATGGCCACAAAAAGGGCAATAAATAAAGTCAACTCAAAGCATGCTATTTACACCACAAAGTAAACTCAAGAGACTGTAGATTTTTAAATCAAGCATTTTGGTGAGTCCATTTTCAAGTAGCCAATCATTCCACCTGTAATCTTGTCACCCTGTTCAAGACAAATAAATACGGAAAAACCAAGAATAATTCAAAATCCAATTAAGAAATAAGCACTATAAATCAAGTAAAAACAATAAATAGATTCCGAACGTCTCTTAATTTCGATATTACTTTTAAAAAATCATTAATTTCTTTCCAAGCAAGTGTCATTACTGGTGAAAGTCATGTGCAGGTTTCTCTTTTAAGCTGTCCTGTAAGTGCTGAACATGTTATGACGTTTGTTCCCATTCTCCACATCTAAAAATGACACTCTTGTGTGATCTCTTACATCAACTAATGCCCTCAAACAGACCAGGAGCATATAAGAAAATCTATGAAGGGACAAAAAAGGGGGAAATGGGGTATGAAATAGTCCCTTCTTTTCAGAGTCTCCTTACAATTATAGTTCAATCTCAAAAGTCTTCTGCAAGTCATTGGAAAACGGGTTTTGCGCCTTGTTTTGTGATTTGGACTCCAGGGCGGCCCACTTTACATCGAAATGCTCGGCTTCCTGGGAGTTGACTGTGGGATTCGGATTCTCCATCGGCCAACCAGAACCTCCTTTAACGGCAGTACCGTTTTGCGTAACACTGGTGGTTGTTGATGGAAAGGAGTTTTGTGGGTGGCCATTGATTGTTGGAGGAGAAGCGAACGTGGTGGTTGGAAGACCTCCAGGAAGGGTGGGAAATGCTGAATGTTGGCTCCCGCCAAGCGTACCCGTCTTAGGCCCCATCCCGACCCCAATTGCCACTCCACCTCCTGTACCGGCTGCACTGCAAAATACATTCGCCACCATCTGTGAGGGTGTGATGCCCACCACGGGTACACTTGCATTGGGATAGGTCATGCTGTTGGCTAGAGTGGGCATGTACGGCTGCATAGGTACAAACGCCGGTTGGAGCGGCTGTTGGGTGAACATACTAACGGGAGCAGGAGTGACGTCAAAAGCCATCGGAAATGGCTGCATGGATGTTGGGAGGGAACCGGGTGCGATGGGCATGGTGGGCACCGGTGGAGGCTGCTGAGAGGGTGGTGGTGGTAAAGTAGGTGGAGTCTGCTGTTGGGATTTCACCGCTTTAGCAACTTCCTCCAGCCATCGTTCTGCTTCGGACGGGGTTCGTTTGTGGCCACCCTGAGGAATGGGTGGAGAAGACTGGACCGGGGGCTCTATTTGGACCCATAAATTTGTAGCTGAGGAACAGAAAGGGGGTGAGAATGTTAAAATATGCCTGTCCTGTTCAGGTCAATGGAATAATGTTTCTATAGTACTATAATACATATTGTTTTAACAGTCACTCTCTTTTTACCACAGAATTAATCATTTATATTCAAACATGAATATAGACCATATCTTAAGCCCCATCCATACCGCCAGTAACTGTATCGCTACTTGCTGTTAGTGGCTAGCAGTTTGATGGGTGTTACCGCTACTGGTTGGCTAGTAACCAAAATTTGTAACCAAAATTTTTAAACAATTTGACTCTTTTATGTATAAAAAAGATTTTCTTGCTGCTAAAACAAGCATTTTAGGGCAATTGGTACAAAAAGTATAAATAAGAAAACAAGAAGAGTTGAGATGGTATCTATGGTTATTGCAGAATAAGGGGCTGATCACACCGAGCACGCTTTTACAGTCAAAAAACGCAAGGCGCACCACACAGCCATGGCAAGAAAAAGGGAAGTGCAGTGCACTTTTTATGTCACTATGCAACGACTGAATCATCTGCCTATTGTGCCTGAGTGTTGCTGTTGATATTGGTATAATATTAATATTTAATAATATTGTGATGTCCAAGATTTGTAAAGTAATACAGCTCCGGATAACTCAAAACAGCAACCACTAGTCTCTCCTCCATCTTTGAAAGTCTTCCTAATCATCTTGACAACACAAACACTACTGTCACCTTAACGGAAACCCCGCTTCTGCTTTCATTTGATTGAAGATGGAAAAACATGCGACTGACGTAACGTGTTTTTTTCTGCTCAGAGTTGACTATTTTAACTGCGAGTGCACAGCATGTAACGGCCAAAAATGCAAGGCGCGCAAGGCACATAAGCAGCAGGCAAAACTCTCCCGACTATTAGTAAACCACTCAAAAAAGGTGACTCTCAACACGAAAAGCATGTTCGGTCTGATCAGCCCCTAAATTGTCAATTGTAATAGATTTTTTTTATGTTTGATACATTTCAAATCCACTAAACTTCAAAACCGAACCGAATCATAAGACCAGTGTAGGTTCACACTCCTAAATATTAAGGCTGAAGTCATCAAACTGACGTCAACAAAGAAGGACTGCCAAACAAACAAATGGGCAGATTTGATTAAAGATTATCAAAACATAATTCTTAAACTTTAGATTAATTGTTCACCTAAAGAATAATGAACTGCGCTAGCAAAACAAACATAGTAAATTTTGATGTCACCTGGACCTTAAGCTTTCAAACCATTAGTAAATATCACAGAGCAAAAAGCAATAAATGCAGAGCACTTCCTTTAAATGGTAACAGTGCTGATGTTGCAAAATACATCAGATAGAAACGAAATGTGATTCAGCTATGAAGCAGCTCTACAGATAATTCAGTTCATGTTTATTTCCTCATCCGAGTCCTCATCTTTTTTACTCATATCAGTGTGAGGCTTATTTCAGCCCATGTTCTGCATCATGTGTTTGTGTTGGCCGGTGTGGTCTGGTACCTTGAGGAGGGGCAGGTGGAGGAGGGATGGCAGGTGGAGCGCAGCTGATGGGTAAGCAGTTGTTGGTGGTTTTGGCACACAGGTCTTCAGATGGTTTGGTGAAAGAGCTATTGATTTGGCTGCACAGAGCGTTAATGCTGTCCGCCTCTCCAGCCACTGTCAGATCCATCTCTGGAACTGAGACAAAAGCACAGACTCCAGCTCAATCACAGCTCTGAGCATCATTCTGCAGGACATGCATGCAGATCTTGTCTTTTTTTTTTTTTTATTAGTTAGTTAGTTAGCTATGCAATGACCAAAAATAAGGAGTAGCAAGAAAATACTGTTCTATTTTCATTTCTATTAAATGCATCCCATTTTCAACAAAAACATTAAGCAGCACATCTGTTTTCAACACTGATAATAATAACAGTAAATGTTTCTTGTGTGCCAAATCATTATATTAGAATGGTTTCTAAAGGATTGACTGGAATTAATCTGTTTTATAAATGTTTGCTACATGGCAGAAACTCTGTTTTTGTTTAGGTTCTTTTTACCCGCCCAATGCCACTTTAGCCAATTATATTTCAGCAGCCTTGTTTGCCTTATAAGGAAAACCACGTATTTCATTCAATCATGAAGGCTCTCAGAGAATGTGTCCGAGACCGAAATGCATGTAGTTCTCCGGAGTTTCACATGAGGTTATTAATTAGCAAATAATCTAAATATTTCAAAAGTAAACATTAGAACAGCAGTTTATTGTAACTCTGTGTTCTAACAACACGCTACATAACGAGATTTGCAGTGATAAGCAATTTGGCTGCTCAGAAAAAACATGACAGAAATTTAAATACAGCCATTCAGAAGCACAGAAAAACATTACTGTACTGCACTCCAGAGAAATAATAAAGTTTACAATCTAATTAATACCTCTTTAGCATTATTATTTGTACATGCTGAATAATTGATATGTGTTTACGTAGCTTGACCTGAAGTTCTGAAGTTCAATTTTAAACGGTTTATTTTATTTTCAAGATCTGAGGTGAACTATCCGCTGCTGCTTTCAGTATACGACAATAAATGTCAGGTAAAATGGCATTCAAACTCATGAGGTGCACAATCAAGCACATGAGGTGTACCTGTACCTGATGTGATCATTTTCATTTATCCTGTTGTTCACCAGTGGGAAATAAATGCCATTTTTAAAATAGAAATTTCAGGTGTAGGTTGGGACAAAAACTTTTTTAGTATGGTAAATATTTCTTCTATCGTGTGCTGTTGCTTTTAGTTAGAGAACGGTTCAAATCAGCCTTTAGGCTTTATAGTCACGTGGTTGCCTGAACTCAGAGGAGCAAAGTGAAACTTTAACAGTTAAACCATGGTTCTGTCATGAAGAAGACTGAGTTGAAAGGGATACTTCACAAAAAAGTATTCTGCCACCATTTACTCACTCTTTACTAGTAAAAAGAAAAACAGTTTTTTTTTGTTCAGTTTAATAATAAATATGTAATATGTAATATATGTAAAAAAATATGTAAAAAACCTCATTGGCTTCAATAGTAAGAAAAAAAACAAAGCACTATGAAAGTCAGTGATTACAGTTTTCCAACATTCTTCAGTGTATCTTCTTTTGTGCTCAACAAAACAAAAACAAAAAACTCAAAACTGGTTTGTAACAAGTGTGAGTAAATAATGACAGGATTGACTTTTTTTGTAAACTATCCCTATAAGACTTATATAATCTCACAGAATGCACTATTGTCATTCGATTTGCTGTACAGCACTACTTTTGTTTTATTCTGTGATCTTTCATGATAAATATAATGGAATATGTCCAGTTATGTTTTTCCAGTCTCAGCTACAGTACAAAGCATCTTTTCCACAAACATCTGCACTACACGAAGTGACGTCCTCAAGCGTACACATTTAGTGGTTTACATTATTCACGGCTGAACCAGAGTCATACAGTGCTGTTGAAGACATGACTCATAACTGCCCTTTTCCAATCTACTCGAGCGAAGTAAGTCAAAGATTAGAAACAGCAGCACAATTCTCTGCAAAACATGTTATTAATACAGCGCCGCACTGAACAGATCGATGCAAGGCACAGATATACTGCTAAATGCTGCAGTTTATGGTTTGCTTAAATGACTTTATGGCTGCTATCATAAGGTTTCAGCGTAAGCGGAGAAGTGCTTTTGTGTTTATTTGTATGCAGACGGAGCATAAGCTGCATTTTACATGCTGAAGTCCTCAGGTTGATGATGCACATATGGTAAATGGTGTGAGATAAGATGCTCAGGGCTATTATCTGGAGAATCTGTACTCAGTCAATATACATTTACACTCGGATCATAATTCATGTGCTTTAGTTCAACACAGGGATGCACAAATACTAGGCATGAACAATATAAAAAAGACATAATATTGTTGCTGTTTTTTTCCAGAATGAATATTAGATTATATATTTCACTCAGTGTATTTTTTGTGGTGGTATTTTTGTTAAGGACTGTCATGAATAAATAAATATAACACTAAAACCACCAGTAAGTGTATTTATTGGGTGATTCGCTGAATCATTCATTCAACCGATTCATTTAAAACAGCTGATTTAGTAGCTGTCTTAAGTGATTCACTGAATCATTCATCGAATTGATTACTTTAAAACAACTGATTCATTTAGAAATTAAGCAAGTGCCTGTCTTCAGTTACTCACTGAATAAATTTAGAAAGTAAGCCTGACTTTAGTGATTTGGTGAATTATTTATTCAAGTGATTCATTTAAAACAGCTGATTCAGTTTGAAATGAAGCAAGTGCTTTTCTTGAGTGGTTCACTGAACCATTGGCTCTTTCTTAATTCCAAGAACGCAGAGAATGGACTTGCGTTCTTGTGGAGAACTCGGGAGACAATGAGGGCAGAGAACGTGTCCTCTGAGAAATGAGATGCTGTGTTCTTCCTGATGCTCACATGACCTTCGTGCGTTTTAATTGGTAAATTATTTAAACATTACATCATTATCATTCATTCAAATGATTCATTTAAAATAGATGATTAGGTGATTTACTGAATCATTAATCTAAGTGATTCATTTAAAACTTGATTTATTTATATATAAGTGCCTGTCTTAAGTGGATCACTGAATCATTTAATCAAGCAATTCATTTTAAACAGCTGATTCATTCAGAAATGAAGCAAGTAATTGTCTTTAAAAAAAAACTGATCACTCAATTGAATCAATGATCCCTTTATTTGAAATAGAGGCACAATTAATCTTTAAACGTTTACAATCTTGATTTAAAAACCTACAAAAATATGATTTGCATGTTATGATCACAATGATACATTTAAATCTGTAACAGACTGAATGAAATGGTCTTTAGTTTTTTTAATCTGTCTAATTTTTTTCTGTATCGCAAACATTCAGATTACAGTAAGGCTTCTGGTATACATGCTTATAATTCAGATTGACCTTTCAAATGAAGTTTGTAGCAATTACACTCTTCTGCCAGTAGGTGGTGTACCCATTAAAATGTACTTGTCACTGAATAGTTCAAGAGATTTTTCAAAAATACTGCTTCATTTAGTAATGAACATCTGAAGTGTTTGGTCAGTAACTGAAGAGTAGCTGTTTAAACATTAGACCACATGAGTGTTTACTCTATCAAAGTGCTGCTCAAGTACACAAACTGACCTGGGTTCTTGGTCTGGAAGTCGGTCTTGCGCTGCAGGGTTGACGGGAGATCATTGAGACGCAGAGAAAGCTGTCGTTTGAACGGCGAGTTCTTCTGGCTGAGTTGAGGAAAGCCTCTGAAGGATCCCTGTCGCACCAGCTGCTCGATGGGGGCGTGTCTGCGTGGAATGGCGTGAGGGCCACCTGGCTCCGCCCTCTCACCCGGTGACCCCGCCCCTTCTGGAGGAGATGCATTTCCAGGCGGCAATGCAGAAATCCCACACATTTCTAGATAGAGGAAAATTCATTGATCTGTCAATTATAATATCATTTCAATAGTATTTTCTGTATAATTTTAAATCTCAGTTTAAATTTAGTTTACTTCATTAATGGTTTTGTTTAATTTTAATTGAGTATTTTTTATTTATTTAACCTATTTGTTATAAAAATAAAATATTTTTTTAAACAAAGACTGAACTCAAAGCAATATAAAGGCAACATATTACAGTTAAAAACAAGTACATTTAACAAATAAACTTCTAACTGTTGTTAAACATGCCTAGTTACTGCCTAGTAATTAACATTTTTGGCAGATGAACAAACCATTCAAATCATTGACAGCAATTTTTTGTGTGTGTGATCTGGTGTGATCGTATGCTTGAGGGACAAGCAAAGGCTGATCACACCAGTGTGATCGTATGCATAAAAGGATTAGGGCAAGTTTCACCTGGCGGCCATCTCTGAAGCACCTCTTGGGCAGTATGCTTTGAGATACTGTTTGAATAGGGAAACTATTTAATTCTACGAAATAGCTTGCCAAGCTTACAATTAAATTACAAATTAGGAATCGCCAATTAAATTAAACAACAACTGTCTCTTTAGTTTCATTTCTAAACGCTAGAATCACACAACATTTGCAGAAACTCACAGGTGTTCTGAGCCCCTCCCCTGGAGAATCATCACTTTATAGCAATCAATGATTGGCTTCTGTAATAGTAAGCGGGGCTCAAATGTTCTGAAATGTTTCAAATGTTCTGAAATTTGTATTTTTATTTTGATTTATGATAGAGTCTGGTTTCAGTTTTACTAGTTTAGTCATTCCTCCCAGTAAGCATTGTGTTTGTGAGTTGGACTGACCTTTCTTCTTGTCTTGAATCTGCTTCATGATGTCCTCGCGGTCACTCTGTTGTGCGGCGGAGGACACGCGAAATGAACCTTCCCTCACAAATGATGTTCTGCTGGCATCGAAAGAGGCTGTGACGCCACACTCCTTTTCTCTGCGCTGCTTCCGCTCCAGGCAGGCGGCGAACGCACATCCCACTGCATGACTGAGACGCTCGCCCTGACCATCAGGGCAATCAACTCACATTAGCATCATCACAATACAATATGCTCCAAATAAAAATGTAAACATTAATAATTTGTGTTGAGTTAAGTATACACTGTATATGTAATACATACTGGGTAAATATACACTATAACTGTAAATATACACTATAACTGTAAATATACACTATAACTGTAAATATACACTATAACTGTAAATATACACTATAACTGTAATATATATTGGGTTTCACACATTCCCTTCATGTTGTCCCAAGGCAAATCAATTAAGTTAACTTAATAGTTTTTAAAATTTTAAGTTGATTAAACATAAAACAATTTTAGAAATTTTTGGCATGAAATACTTTTCTTCACTGTATTTATGTTTTCATTTAAAGGATAGGTAATTTACGTTTGTGGTAGAATGTCCCTAATACATAGATTTAAAGATGCCAATATTTGACTGTATATTTGCAGATACCTATATCGGACTATAGATGTAAAGATACCTATATTTGACTATAGATTTAAAGATACCAATATTTGACTATAGATTTAAAGACTCATAAAGTTGAAGTTAGAATTATTAGCTCTCCTGAATTATTCGCCCCCCGAATGTTCAGTTGACTATTGGGAAAAAAATGTGCTTAAAGGGGCTAATAATTTTGATCTTAAAATGGTTTTTAAAAAATAAAAATCTTCTTTTATTCTAGCTGAAATAAAACAAATAAGACTTTCTCCAGAAGAAAAAAAATATTTTCAGACATACTGTGAAAATTTCCTTGTTATAGGAATATAGGTATAGTGAATAATTCTGACTTCAACTGTACATTTGCCTATAGATTTAAAGTTACATATATTTGACTATGGATTTAAAGATACTTATATTTGTTTATAGATTTAAAAATACCTATATTTGACTTTAGATTTAAAGACACCTATATTTGACTATAGATTTAAAGACACATATATTTGACTATAGATTTAAAGACATATATTTGACTATAGATTTAAAGACATATATTTGACTAAAGATTTAAAGACATATATTTGACTATAGATTTAAAGACACATATATTTGACTATAGATTTACAGACATATATTTGACTATAAATTTAAAGACATATATTTGACTATAGATTTAAAGACATATATTTGACTATAGATCTAAAGACACATATATTTAACCACAGATTTAAAGACACATATATATAACCACAGATTTAAAGACACATATGTTCGACTATAGATTTTAAGATACCTACATTTGACTACAAATTTAAGGACACATAAATTTTACTGTAGATTTAAAGATACATAAATTTGACGATAGATTTAATAACGGAAAAAACTGTTAGTCATAAGATGTGAAAAATAAACTTGATTCAGGAAAAAAAACTTGACACTTTAATTTGAAAAACACTACAATTTTTTTTACAACCATTTTTAAATGTTTAGATATTTCTTATTATTTATTTAGTATTAGTCAGTGTTTGTTTGTTTCTTGTTTTGGGATAGGATGGATAAAAACATCATATGTTGTTTTTGTCTAGACTAGTAATGGTGTGTTGTGATATGATCTTATTTTTAGTGTTTCCCAAGTGCAGATAATGGTGTTTAAGCAGTTCTTCCGGTTGAGATCACACTGCTATAATCCCTGTTTAATCCCACTTTGCGGGGAATGAAGGATTAATCGTTTTGTTCTCCTCACCGAGTCCTTCAGGGCCATGAAGCAGTGGCACATCCAGCGGCGGGTTGTTCCGTCACGGCAGATGTAAGAGAAAGCCTTGTCGTAGTTACGGTCCGGGGCACAGAATGACACCTTTTCAATCGTCTGATCCACAATCAGGTCCTGCAGAGAAAAAAAAAAAACTGTTTGTGGCATCTTAAGGAACAATACAATGGAAAGTATATTGAAAGTATCTATTTAATCATTATTTGTAAATAATTGTTATATGGATTATTAGTACTAGTATTATTTCCCAGTTTCTTTCCAGAAGCTTAAATAAATGCATATAATATAATATAATATAATATAATATAATATAATATAATATAATATAATATAATATAATATAATATAATATAATATAATATAATATAATATAATATAATATAATATAATACATTTGGTGCAAATGACAAAAAAATAATAAAAACAATTACGAAACCAACATTTATTTTAATTCACAGAAACTAGGAGTCCGTGTCCATGATCCTCCGTCTCTGACCAAAGCACCACACGCTGGGCTTTTTTTTCCTGACTATTGTCCTAACATGAGTGAAGACTTTTGTGTGTCCTGGACCTCCCAGTGAAACAGTGGCTAGTGTTTCCTAGTCAGGGGCCACAGTTCCTCCATAATGCATGAGCTAAAGAGACGAGTACAAGAGGTGAGGGGCCCGGTTCACTGTCAGCCCATTACTGACTAAAGGGCCCATCAGAGCTCTCAAAGCCTGCTCAATGGGCTTTACAGCGGACGGGAAATCAAGTTTATAGGTCCAGGAAAGCTGACTCAGAAATAAAACAGTCTAGTCTCCTGTCAATAACACTTTGACTAGAATGACTACTGATGAGTGAAGCCGAGATGCTTGATTACTGTGGACAATATACAGTTGAAGTCAGAATTTTTAGCACTCCTGAATTATTAGCCTCAGTATATTTTTCTTGCCAATTTCTGTTAAACGGATAGAAGATTTTTTTTCAACACATTCTTAAACATAATAGTTTTAATAACTCATTTCTAATAACTGATCTTTGTCATAATATTTTACTAGCTATGTTTCAAGATACTAGTATTCAGCTTAAAGTGCAGTTTAAAGACTTAACTGGGTTAATTAGGCAAGTTATTGTATAACAATACTTCTGTAGACAGTCGGGAAAAAAATATTGCTCAGTCAAAATGGTTTTAAATGAATTCAAAACTTTTATTTTAGCCGAACTAACACAAATAAGTCTCTCTCAGATAAAAAATATTATAGGAAACACTGTGAAAAATTCTTCGCTCTGTTAAACATTAATTGGAAAATATTTAGAAAGACATAAAATTGTTGTAAATCTAAATGACAGGAAAATATAAGCAGTGCATCCAGAAGGTATTCATAGCGCTTCACTTTTTCCACATTTTTTTATTTTACAGCCTTATTCCAAAATGGATTAAATTCATTTATTTTCTCAAAATTCTACACACAATATCCCATAATGCGTCGCTGACGCACACCTCTCAAAAAATCTAACTACACGTCACAACGACACGTAGCGCAAGCTCTGTCATTGGTCGGCTTGGTAGCGATAACGAGTCTGGGCGGGACCGAGAGCTGCGCGAGCCTGATGGGGCGAGTGTTTACAAGTGCAGAGTACTGTAAAGGAACTCTGGATGGAAAGTTTTGTTTTGTGTTTACCTCATAGTTAAAGTTGTTGCACATCCGCTGGTTCCTGCCTCAAAATGAGCAAGTTTGAGCCACTTGTACATTTAGGAAGCGTTCAGAAAAAACAAAACACCAGCGAAGAAACTTGACACAAAGACACATTAACACCTTACTGCCAACTAGCGTTTTGGAAGTGTTAATGCAGACCAACAGAGACAGCGCACAGAAGTATAAATGCACAGCTACGTGCGATGCAGACACCATGGGTTACGTCAGACAGAAGTATAAACCAGGCTTAATCCACGGTGCATGCAATGCGTGTAGCTTTGCATTATACTTCTGCGCGCAGTCACTGTTGGTCTGCATTAACACTTCCAAAACGCTAGTGGACAGTGAGGTGTTAATGTTCCTCGGTGTCGAGTTTCTTCGCTGCTGTTTTGTTTTTTTCTGAACGCTTCCTGAATGTACAAGTGGCTCAAACTCGCTCGTTTTGAGGCAGGAACCGGCGGACATGTAACAACTTTAACTATGAGGTAAACACAAAACAAAACTTTCCATCTGGCCCTCCTTCACGGGACTCCACACTTGTAAACAATCGCTCCATCGAGCTCGCACCGCTCGCGCGGCTCTCGGTCCCGCCCTGACTCGTCAGCGCTACCAAGCCAACCAATTACAGTTTTTACAATTACAATTACAGAGCTTGTGCTACATGTTGTGGCAACGTGTAGTTAAATTTTTTGAGAGGTGCATGTCAGCGACGCCGACGGCGTAGGGCTATGCGTCAACGCCTAGGCTGCACCGTAGCATACGCGTGCACTTAAAGCAGAAGTATAAATCAGCCTTGAGATGTTTCAGCAGCTTAATTGAAGTTCACCTGTGGTAAATTCAGTTGATTGGACACTATTTAAAAAAAGGCATACACCTGCATGCAAGGTTACAGAAAAATTTCTGCTGCTCTGAAAGTTCCAATAAGCACAGTGGCCTCCATCATCCGTAACGGGAAAATGTTTGAAACCACCAGGACTCTTCTTTGAGCTGGCCGGCCATCTAAGCTGAGTGATCGGGGGAAAGGGGCCTTAGTCAGGGAGATCAATAACCCGATGGTCACTCTGTCTGAGCTCCAGTGTTCTTCTGTTGAGAGAGAACCTTACAGAAGGACAACCATCTGTGCAGCAATCCACCAATCAGGCGTGTATGATAAAGGAGCCAGACGGAAGCCACTGCTCGCCTGAAATTTGCCAAAAGGCATCTGAAGGACTTTCAGACCATAAGAAACTAAATTCTCTGGTATGATGAGGATAAAATTTAACTCTTTGGAGTTAATGCCAAACGTTACGTTTGGAGAAAACCAGGCATCGCTCATCACAAGGCTAACACCCTCTCTACAGTGAAGCATGATGGTGGCAGCATCATGCTGTGGGGATGTTTTTCAGCAGCAGGAAGTAGAAGACTAGTTAGGATAGAGGGAAATATGAATGCAGCAATGTGCAGTAACATCCTGAAAAAAAACCTACTTCAGTGCTCTTGACCTCAAACTAGGGCGACGTTTATCTTTCTGGAGGACAATGACCCAAAGCACACAGCCAAAATATCAATGGAGTGGCTTCACAACAACTCGATGAATGTCCTTGAGTGGCCCAGACAGAGCCCAGACTTAATCCTATTGATCAGAAAAATCCAACCTGAAAGAGCTTGAGAAGTGCTGCAAAGATGAATGGGCAAATATTCCCAAAGACAGGTGTGCCAAGCTTGTGTCATCATATTCAAAAAGATCTGAGGCTGTAATTGCTGCTAAAGGTGCAGCAACAAAGTATTAAACAAAGGCTGTGAATACTTCTGTACATGTGATTTTTCACGTCTTTTATTTTTAATAAATTTGCAACAATTAAAAAAAATCTTTTTTCACATTGTCATTATGGGGTATTGTGTGTAGAATTTTGAGGAAATAAATGAATTTAATCTATTTTGGAATAAGGCTGTAATATTAAAAATGTGTAAAAAGGGAAGCGCTTTGAATACTTTCTGGATGCACTGTACATTTACAATGAAATTTTGTTGTCAACAAATGAAGTAGACCAGACAAAACATGAAATATTTTTTGTTCATATAGTCTGCAATGAAATACAAGTCAAAATAAATGTCAAAATAAACACTTTCCATACATTCCCAACATTTTTGTGATTTGGGGTTGCAATATGTTGTGATTTATACAGTCTTGCTGCATTCATGTTTTTTGAGATCCTGACCTGACCTAAAACGAAAGCTTAAACAGAATCAGAATGTAACCAAAATTTGATTAATCGTGAGTTTATCAGGAGAGAGTGGAGGAGCAGAACAGGACACACAGGTGGTGTGTGTGTGTGTGACGGCGGCAGGAAGGATTATTTGTCCCTGTTGACTCATACATACAGGACGATTACCAGAAGAGCACAGCAAGTGAATGCTGGAGTCTGAGGCCTGACGAGAAACAAAAAAAGAGAACTTTGTGGCTTTCCGCCTTTGACTGTGTGCATTGAAAAGGAAAAACAGGGCATAATTGAAGCTATTATGGGAGGCCTTTGACCTTTTCTGGTTAACTTTCCGGGTTTTGTGTGAGGGAAGGATGTTCCATTAATCCCCAAACTTTGAAAAGGAAAAATCCAGCCATGAGAGGCATGGGAACCCTTGGCCTTAAAAGTCATGTCGTGTCTGAGTGATGCATCATGGAGTGGGACGATCATGTGACGGCTCTTCTGGAGCTCAGCCAGCTTCCTCCTACCGCTTGTTGTGTGTTTCCTGCAGTTTTTCTCTTGCACTGACAGACTCGGCTAATTGACGGCTCTTTGGGGCTTCAAAGGCTTTTTAAACTCTCTTATTAAAGGGGTCATGAACTGCCTTTTTAGTTTGTACTGTTCTCTGTGGTTCACTTTTGATGGAATCTAGATTTTTTTATGAAAAACTTTATTTAGAAGCAAATATTTCTGTCCTGGGCGGCACGGTGGCACAGTCGCCTCACAGCAAGAAGGTTGCTGGTTCGAGTCCTGGCTGGGTCAGTTGGCGTTTCTGTGTGGAATTTGCATGTTCTTCCAGTTTTTGTATGGGTTTGCTCCAGGTGCTCTGGTTTTCCCCACAGTCCAAAAACATGTAGTATATGTGAATTGGATAAACTAAATTAGCCTAAAATCAGAATGTATGGGTGTTTATGCAGGGCATCCTCTGCGTAAATCATATGGGGAAATAGTTGGTGGTTCATTCCACAGTGGTGACCCCTGATAAATAAGGGACTAAGCTGAGAAAAAATGAATGAATGTCTCTGTCCTGCCTTGGCACTCCTCTTCTAAACACACTGTATAAATAGGTATGGCTGAGTGTAGATCAGAGGTAAACACCCACTGCTATGGTTGGCTGACAGTTTTGCATTTGTAACATTTTTGACAGGATGGATGCATGCCCACCGATGTAAACGTCTGTATGTGTCTGAGGGTCTACATCAGGGGTTGTTAATTTTATCAAAGTTATCAATGTCTAGAACAATTGCTTATTATAACAAAACTTGGTTTAAATAAATATGCATATACATAAATCATTTTTTAAGTGTGTTTTGTATTTAAAAAATACATTAATAACGAGTTTTTAAGTCTCTGAAAAACAAGTCATAATTCATTTAAAATCAGTGTGAACCGAAAGTTTTTAAGTTGACTTTCATGTCATTGTGTAGGCATGACATAAAACTAGGGGCGGTGCTTTTTTGTGCATCATTCCCATAGGGTTGGGCTGATAGACAATACCGTCATCCATTGCTGATGGCCAATAGATAACACGATGCTGAGCCAATCCTCAGCCCCGCCCTTTCGCAAACCCACTGGCGAAAAATACACACAACAGGCCCTGTTTACATCAATAGGTCTTAGTATTAAATGTCACTTAAAAACAAAAATGATCCACATCCACACCGTGTTTTACCTAGCATTTCTGAACAGCCCTCCGTCTGCTGAAAACACACATCACATGACTACACACACACACACACACACAGCCACACACACACACACAGCCAAACACAGTGTCATGCGCCCCTCTGAGGTTTTTTACCAACCAACCTCCCGTGGAAAAAGTGATTGGCAGGTGGTAATTTAAGTGGTAACTTATCTCTATTTATTTATGATTTGTTTATGAGTAAAATAAAGACCATGCGGGTCAGGTAGTTGAAACTGTAGGCTACAAAAAGTTAATTCATCTTCGCCTATGACGACAATGCAATTGTCCATTGCGATGTTTCACATTAGAGATCCTATGATGCCAAATTGGTCAACACACCCAACCCTAGTTCCCTCATAGCAAATTAATATAATATAATATAACATAGGTGACGCGGAGGAGCAGTAGGTAGTGCTGTTGCTTTACAGCAAGAAGGTCACTGGTTTGAGCCCTGGCTGGGTCAGTTGGCGTTTCTGTGTGGAGTTTGCATGTTCTCCCTGTGCATGGATTTCCTCTGGGTACTCCGGTTTCACCACAATCCAAAGACATGCGCTACAGGCAAACTGAATCAACTAAATTGGCTGTAGTGTATGAGTGTGTGTGAATGTGAGAGTGTATTGGTGTTTCTCAGTACTGGGTTGCTGCTGGAAGGGCATCTTTAGCCTCAAACATATGCTGGAATGGTTGGCGGTTCATTCCGCTGTGGCGACCCATGGTAAATAAGGAACCAAATCGAAGTAAAATTTTTGGACAACTATGGTTGGGTCGATAGACGATGCCATCGTCAATCGCCTATGGCCAATAGATTTCACCATGCTGAGCCGGCATCACAATCCTCCACCCCCATTGCAGCAGCAACCTGCTCGTGAAAAATACACACTCAGTCCCCGTTTACACTAATACATCTTAACTTTAAATGTTATTTTAGAATAAAAACGATGCACATCCACACTGCCGTTTCATCTAGCATTTCTGAAAAGCCCTCTTTCCGCATTATGCTGCTGAAAACGCAATCCATGTGACCACAAACACACACACACACACCACACACACAGGCACGCGCTGCAGTGTATGCGCGCGTTTGAGCTCCAGCAGTCAGCAGGTGACTCTTCGGTCTTTTGAATCTGTCAGGGAATGTGTCACAGCATCAGTACACTGCTTCAATCTTTCACTTTCACGTTTATACTTAGTAATTTTAGCAAATACCTCAGATAGTGTTAGTTGGTTCCTGTTGGTTGTGCACCTTTTTTACCAAGTTTGTTGATGCCACTATAACGACACAGAACCCTATTCATGCCAGAGTCACACGGAAGTGATTGACAGGTAGTAATTTGTGTGTAACTTATCTTTATGTATGATTTGGTTATGGGTAAAACAAAAACCAGGTTAGTTGAAACGGTTGGCTACAAATAATTAATTTGTTATGAATTAAATGATTATTCAGAAATAATTAATTCACCGCTGCTTAAGATGACGATGCCATCTTCCATCGCAACATTTCACATTAGACATTGTACGATGCCAAATTGGTCGACATCGCCCAACCCTATAAACAAATACAACTATTTCTTAAAAATCAAACAAAACGCTTTTTTTGGACAGGAGCAAAATGAACACAATCAAGAGTGTCACCCAGTTACAACAAACTGGTTCGATTATACTAACTGGTTGTCATGACAACAGCGTCACACTTAAAATATCAATTTCGGTTTCATTTCAGATCATCACCAAAAAGATAAAAAAACTAGCATGTTTAACTTTTATAGTAGTAGTATCCACTTAATTGCATATATAATATCTTAATTATAAGCTGTTTTATAAAAACGGGAAATTTCTGAACTCTAAAACATACAGGATGATTTTGTAGTACAGTGACCTCTTAAATATCAAAAAATCAAGGGAATTGTGATTCTAGAGTTTATGGCTTCTTTAATGAATTTCAATGAACCCTCTACAAAACAAGCTTAAGCACAAAAAACCAAAGCACACTTACCTTGGTTTTGTCGTCCACTACTCTCAGGCCATCAGCAGACACCCAGAGCACAGCCTTCACTGTCTTTTTCCCACTCTGAGGGTAGAAAAATTGAAACAACATCAATCTTTAGACACACTGGGATCTCAGCAGTACCACAGAGCTTTTTATTTGCTAGCATAAAAAAATTCTGTGAAAGTTTCAGCTTTTGTCCAACAACATGCTGAGCTGTGATGAAATGCAGAAACCAGACACGTTTCAGTGATGAGGGCTTATTGGTTAACATTCTATACTGTACTAATACTACTACTGCCTTTATTATTTACTAAGTTTGACATTTCTCAAATTGAAAAATGTAAAATGGGTTTTAAAAATGATAATTTTTTATTTATAATGTCAATTTTTAAAATGTATTATTGTAATTATTATTATTATTATTATTATTATTATTATTGATATTATTAATATTAGCAGCTCTTGTTGTAAGTTTAGACATTTTAATAACTTTTTTTAGTTTTTGTTGAACCTATAATTATAATAATGACAATGCATTATTATTATTATTATTATTATTATTATTATTATTATTATTGATATTATTATTATTAGCAGCTCTTGTTGTAAGTTTAAACATTTTAATAACTTTTTTTAGTTTTTGTTGAACCTATAATTATAATAATGACAATGCATTATTATTATTATTATTATTATTATTATTATTATTATTATTATTATTATTATTATTATTATTATTATTATTATTCTACATGCCTAAATGCATTGAGTTGCTGCCATGTGATTGCCTGATTAGAAATATGCGTTAAGCAGTTGGACGTGTGTATCTAATATAGGGCTGAGTGTATTAAACAATAATGTATATGTTTCAAATTATATTAATATTAAAAACTTGGTAAGACTTTACAATGTTGTTCCATTAATTAATGTATTTACTAACACGAATTAACAAAAATTAACAACATTTCTACAGCATGAATTGATTCACCACTTGATTATTAAAAATTAATACATTACCTAACATTAACTAAAGTAACCTTATAGTTAAATTTTACCAAAAACTGAAAAATATTATTAAAATATTAAAATATTATTATATACCTATAAATATATAAATTCAAACACACAAATTAAGTTGAATATTCATACATTTATTTGTTTGTTTAAATTTGGCCTATATAAATTGTTTGCAACCCCTTATCTTAAAATAACATAGTAAATCCAGTGAATAATCTTTTTTAGTGTATAGTGCACATTACCGAAAGGCTTTAAATCTTTCATTGAGTCTGTCTACCCAGAGACCAAAGCTTTAGACACTGTAATATGCTTTTAATCTGGAAACAACTGGAGGAGTAAGTGAAAGTGAAGGAATGGGATAAATCAAGAGAACCGAAGAGATTCAGCCGACGGTACAAACAGCCTCAAAGTCAGAATCGAGACCTGAGCAGACAGCAGAAGAGAGATGAGACTGAACGAGGTGGAGAGTTTGGGGGTTTGGGGAAAAAACAGAAAATAAATCAAGTCACTGTGTGTGTAGACAGACTCTGCAGGAGGAAAGTGTGCATGGACAGATGGAGGAGCGCCAAAACATTAGAGTCCCACACACACACACTGCCTGAGTCACACACAGAGGAGGAAACAAGACAAGATTCACAAACAAAAGTGTGTTTCAAAAAGAATGCTTGTGTTACTGGTCTGCTACGAGATTTGTAGGCTCAGGATATGAAAATTGACAGTACAAAAACGCTCCATAACCATTGATTTTCCAAACAAAGGAGACTCTATAGACTCAAAGCATTAAATCATCAGTCCTCACTAATGAAGTGCTGATTTTAGTGTCTGGTTTTGGTTTTTAATGGTTATGCAAAATTATGCATTAAAGTGTTTCAGTCTTTTATTTATTTATTTATTATGTTATACATTAAGTTAAATTATCATAGTTTTAATTAATTATATTATTATTTTTATTTCATTATATTATTTTTTTACATTATATTATGCTTTTTATTATTATTTTTAATTACATTATATTATATTATATTATATTAAATTATCATTTATCATTTTTAAGTAATTATATTATCTTTTTTATTTAATTTATTTCATAATATATATTATATTACATTACATTACATTACATTACATTATATTATATTATATTATATTATATTATATTATATTATATTATATTATATTATATTATATTATATTATATTATTCATTCATTCATTTTCTTGTCAGCTTAGTCCCTTTATTAATCTGGGATCGCCACATCGGAATGAACCGCCATCTTATCCCTCAAGTTTTTACGCAGCGGATGCCCTTCCAGCCGCAACCCATCTCTGGGAAACATCCACACACACATTAACTCTAACTCTTACTCTAACACACATTAACTTATTAACTCTAGTAACTCTAGTGTAATTTGAATGGAAGTGGGCGGTCTAACAATATATTGCTCCCGAGTCCCAACGTTATTTCAGAACAGCATATCTGTGATTTCCTCAATCTTTTTGAGCACTGATACAGCTAGTGCTTACGACTGTTACACATGATGAATGCTTGACCAGTGATTTCTGCAGGTGCATGTCTGTGTGTGCATCGTCTACATAACTGTCCCCAGAGCGGGCTTTACCAACATGCGAGGGCTAAGTGAAGATGCGCTGTCCTTCAGCCTGCATTAGAAAATGGCCAGTTTACTGTTAGGAAACCCACATCAGGCAAGTCCAATGTATGGGAGTCTTTTTCATGAGTCATAAGCAAATTGGAAAAAATAAAAAGATAACCCTTTGCGCGATGTGATAATACCTCAAAGTTAATTCTTTAGCAGTCACAAGACTCAGGCAGTGTGGGTGAACAAAGGCTGAATATACAACAGGAGCAGGAGCAGTCGAGTGCGGAATAAAACCGTGCAGGATCGGGACTAAAAAATGAGTCCCGCACAGATCTCTAGTTCTGTTATCAGTAGTATATGTCCTCTAAAAGCCAGAGGGCGCTCATGTGTGGACACATCGAAATACACCACGAAAAAGGAAAAACCCAGAAAATCCCCATAGCAGTTGCTGAATAAACAGAAGATTTAACCACATTTATTGATTCAGCATGACATTTATTCACATGAATACAGCTTAATCTTACAGAAGGATTTATTTCAAACACTTGACTGATGTTAAAGTAAGGTAAAACATCTAATTCAAAGTGATATTTTCACAAGCTTTTTTAAATGATCACAGAAATTAATGTAATGAATGTGATATTAATTAAATAACATTACATAATAATATAACTATAATATAAATAACTATAATATATAACTATGGCTATGTGTAAATGCAGCTCCATCTTGTTTTTGAAAGCCCCATTTACTGCTGATTACACAAATGTGCATAACAATCATAGAATGTTTCTATTGCTTCAGAAAATTGACTGTACATCCAAAAATGGGCTTTGGCTCATTTGCTGCCAGTCTGCTTTTTACAGCAAGCGTATGTTTTATAATGTGAGGATCCGATACTCACCACTTTCAGCTTTTTTACTGCCTCTTCACACACATGCATCCCTCTGGATTCATCCACCTCCACCAGCCCGAGATACTGCACACACACAACACAAGAGATCAGCATGACGAAACACACACTATCTATATCTCATGCTCTACACCTACCACACTATTAGCTCCCTGAACAAAAGGAAACACTCTTCTGCGTTATTTTTGTTGAGGCTGTTATTTTGACAAGAACATACAGAAATGACAGAAACACTTTTTTTTTTCTTTAGGGAAATCTGTCTTGGCACAAACAGCACTAGTCTGGATTTCAATGAGTATTCTATTAAAGGGGACATATCATGTCTTTTTCATAAGATGTGAAATACATCTCTGGTGTGCCTAGAATGCGTCTGAAACAATGCGAGGGAATTTTTAGTTCGAAATACTCCACATATCTTTTTTAGAGCTTGTTAAATGTGCCTCTATTTGGGAGTGAGAAAAACACGCCGTTTTTGGGCTTGTCACTTTAAATGCAAATGAGCTGCTCCTCTTCAGAAAAGTGTGGAGCCTTTCCTCCTATTCTGACACTCCAAATACAACAAAATATAATAATAATAAAATAAAATATCTGGTAAAATAAATAAATAAATAAAATGGCCTACAATTGAATTAAAATATCACACTTTCCCGTCTATACTCTCAATTTTTCTGTCTAATAAATAGTTGAAAAAATCCTAAAACAATTATTAAAAAAAAAAAAAAAAAAAATATATATATATATATATATATATATATATATATATATATATATATATATATATATATATTTGGGTTGGTGTACTTTAAGAGAAGCTGAATTATCAAATATTATAGCTTTTTTGTCTTGTAATAATTATGAATTATTAAAGACACATAAGCTTGCAATCTGTCAGTGACAACATACTGTATTAACAAAGCATTTCCTCAGTAAAATCAGACAATTATCAGCATCAGACTACCTGTTGCATAATTAAACATTATATTTATTGTTACGTAGTCTAGTTTTATGCAGTATGGCCACTGAAACCATAAACATTCTTCTGTTCTCATGCCATACTTGCAGAAAAGCAATGAATGAATACTGTGCACAGCTCTCAGTGTTCATATGAAAAAATAAACCACCTTAAATGCCTTTAATAATTACACTTTTACAATGTGATATGGTAATTTAACTGACATGTCTGCTTTTACTTTTTCGAAGTCTGAATCCAGCACATGTTTGACTTCAGCTGACTGAATACATCACAATTCTTTAGTTCCAAAGCAAACCAACATGACTATTATTAATCTTTAAAGGGTTAGTTCATTTACAAATTTTATTCTGTCTCCATTTACTCTCCTGTTACTATCAAACATCACTCACACATTTGAATGTGTGGTTACTGCAATATGTGCATGTAGACATGTTATCATATCAAGACCTTGTATCCCTTTGTTTTGAATTAGACTGATCAATTTGTTATTTTTATGATACTTTCATGACATTTTAGGTAGTTTACTCCAGTGCCATTTTGTTTTAAAACAGAAGGAGTCTGATTGTAATGCGCTTTGGGTGTATGGCCATACATGATAAACGAGCTATATAAATGCACATTACTTACTTACTTAATTTTTTACTAACAGTGTTTTAATTTTCTGTGAATGCTGAAAAGTACAGACAGGTTTTAATCCGTCATGTAATTCCTGCTAGAAATATCTAATTTGTAATAGTTTTATATATCAAAATGATAATGATAACAGGGCAGCACAGTAGCTCAGTGGTTAGCACTGTCGCCTCACAGCAAAAAAAGTTGCTGGTTTAGGTCACGCATTGCTGAATAAATGAATGATGATCCCAAACACACTGCTAATGTAATGAAATCATATTTGGAGAGAAAAACAGCTGATGAAGCAAAGACAGTTATGAAATGGCCTCCACAAAGTCCAGACCTGAATATTATGTACAGTATGCATAGGCAAAATTATAGGGAGCATGAGATTCACCTAGAGAAAAAAAGAAAGATACAATATGCTAAATCTAAGGAAGGACTCTTAGAAATGCAGAAAGATGTTTGATATTAGGTAAATAGCACATCATTTCAGAAAAGACTCAACAACAAATTGCTTGGTGCTAAAGAGGTCACATTAAACACAGATTTTTGATGCAAGTTTTTTGATTCCAAAAGTAATTTTGTTCTGAACAGTGTGTCCATATTTCACATATTTTCTGTTTGTATATTTATAGGTATTCAGTTGTTCACACAAAAGTAATGAACCTGCTCATTTTAGATAGATAGCCTCCCAAAGCTGATGGTGGCCTAAGACTTTTGCATTACTTTTGCAAGACTGTATGTTTCCTCTATCTGCACCTGTCTTCTTATCTTGAGTTTTTTTCCCACTTCTCCGAGTCTTCTGTTTCTCCCCAATTAAACCGTACCTCTAGTTCTTTGACTGTAGCCGGTCTTCGTCAACTTAATGACACAAATCCTTCTTTTCTGATACTTTATCGAAACATGTATTACTCCTTAGTGGTTCTCATCTGCCTGCCACCATTATCTCTCTCCTCTTCCTGGCAGACGCCATCTGTGCTAAAACTCCTTTCATTGTTTCCTAACCGTGGTGGGACTTGTTATAATACAATACGGTTTCATGGTCATTTTCGAACAGAAAGTGTGCTTTCTCATGTGAACACACAGACTTAAATGCATTCTATTCTCATGCTCTATCCTCACAAAAATTCTTTATACAGACTTTTATGAATCTATCACTACATGCATACAGTTGAAGTCAGAATTATTGAAATCTAATTCTTTTTTAAACATTTACCAAATGATGTTCAACAGAGCAAGGAATTTTCACAGTATTTCATGTGATATTGTATTATTTTGAAGAGAGTCTTATTTGTTTTAAATCATCTAGAATAAAAGCAGTTTTTTAGTTTTTTTTAGCTTTATGGTAAATATTAGCCCCATTAAGAATATATATATATATATATATATATATATATATATATATATATATATATTAATATATATATATATTTTTTTTCTTTTGATTGTCTTTACAATGACTTGCCTAACAATGAATTATCCTAACTTGCCTAGTTAATCTAATTAACCTAGTTAAGCCTCTAAATGTCACTTTTGTCTAAATACTAACTAGTATCTTGAAAAATATCTAGTAAAATAGTATTTACTGTCATGATGGCAAAGATAAAAGAAATCAGTTATTAGAAAGTAGTTGCTAAAACTATTATGTTTAGAAATGTGTTGAAAAAATCTATCCATTACACAGACATTGGGAAAAAATATACAGGCGGCTAATAATTTAGGAAGACTAATAATTCTGACTTCAACTGTACATGATGCATAAATGGAAGATGCATAATATGTAGATGCAAATAGTAAATTAAGACAAGAAATTTCATCCATAAGAGGGATTGTGGCTAGCTATGCCTCCATTTTCAAAATTCTGCATTTAAGTTAGACTATATTGAAATGGAAATACCTATTCCAAACAAATACTGGGTTTTTGGTGTTTTGTTTCATGTATGAAAGATAGCAGACTAGTTTAAGCACCAGACAAAACGTAAATGTTTTAAAGTGAAAATGCACTAGTGTAAATGGCACCTTAGAGGAATCACTTAAAATGGAGGGAAAATAATCTCAGGTCTCAATAAAATTGTATTATCTGTGTTTGGAAGATCAACAAAAATCATACAGATTGGAAACATAACATAAGGACGAGTACATGATGACAATATTTGTATTTTTGGTTGAATTATACCTTATAAATACATTAAACATACTCCTGGATAAAATTAACTTAATTCATTCATTTTTTCTTCGGCTTCGGTCACTGATTATCAGGGGTCACCACAGCGGAATAAACCACCAACTACTCCAGCATATTTTTCACACATCGGATGTCTTTCCAGGTGCAACCCAGTACTGGGAAACACCCATACACACTTACATTCACACACACTGATACACTATGGTTAATTTTAGTTCATCTAATTCACCTATAGCACATATCTTTGGACTGCTGAGGAAAACGTAGTACCCATAGGAAACCCACGCGAACATGGGGAGAACATGCAAACTCCACACATAAATGCCAAGTTGTGCACTGTTGAACTGGTGCTGTGAGTGGAAATGTGCAAATTAAAGGCTGATCAAATATAAAAAGATCAAATTCTTTCATAATTAGAAGTGCAAAATCTAAACAGTTCCCTACATTCTTGCAGAGAAAGAATTACCAAAACAAAAATAATAGTTTTTCACATTGTTTTGTACAGTAGGTGCACCCGATAATAGAACAAAGTCAGATTTTTAAATTACTTTTAATCTCCACTTTGAAATAATATTTTTATGCTCACCCAAATTGGCAGATTATTTAGCTCGGGGTCTCAAACTCAATTTATCTGGGGGCCGCAGGAGGCAAAGTCTGGGTGAGGCTGGGCCGCATAAGTGATTTCACAAAAAAAAGTCCTCAAATGTCATTATTAACAGTTTTAATTATTTCTTCTGAACATGAAGTGTCCTGAACATTAATAGAACATTGAGTGAAGATTATGAACAGTTCCTCTGAACATGGCATCTTTTGCCTACTCCTTGCTGCCAGAGACTTGACAGCGCTTCTTCTCACAAATCTGAACCACACAGATATTTAACAATGTATTTGTTCATCCTGAGCAAATATATGACACTTTACCAACATTTTTCAACACATTTTCTTCAATATTGAAATCTAATCTTAATGTATTCCTTATTTGGATGTTGCTCATTGTAAATCTTCAGCTGTTACAGCGAGAAAAACAGAAATGTAGAACTGCTGCAATGGTGGTGCAAATGAAAGGCTGATAAAATAAAGGATCAAATTCTTTCATAATTAGAAGTGCACAATCTAAACAGTTCATTTTATACACATTCCTGCAGAGAAATAATTACCAAAACAAAGGTAATAGCTGTGCTTTTTCACATTTAGATGCACCCACTTATAGAAAAAAGTCAGATTTTTTTGTCCCTTAGTTTTGTATTAGACTGATCAATTTATTATTTTAATGATATTTTTATGACATTTCTGTTCACATTGGTGAATTTTTGTTTTAAAACAGTGTTTTGAAGTTAAAATGATCCTCAGACTGGCATTTTACAGCATTAAAAGCAAAATAATCTGCCAATGGAGTAAGCAAAAAAATCGGCACAAATTTTGCACACCTAAATTGGCCAGTTATTTTGCTTGTTTAAAAAAAAAAAACTCACTTAAATTTGACATATTTCTGAAATTGGTGGTTCATTCCACTGTGGTGACAATCAGAGACTAAGCCGAAGGAAAATTAATTAATAAATGAATTGCTGAAATCAAGACAATAATTACTTGTGTTTTTTTTCACATATATTATTACAGTAGATGCTCCCGATTATTGGAAAAAGTAAATTTTTTCCCTTTAGTTTCGGATTAGACTGATCAATTTTTTATTTTTATGATATCTTTATGACATTTTGCTAATAGCTGTTTAAGCTAATAGCTGAAGGTCAGATTTTCATGATGTGCCCCTTTAAGAAACATGCAGATGAGGATGTTTTTTTCGTGACATTTTCTCCAGCGTAAACCAATCAAAATGTCCTCACAGGAACACAATTAATAGTCATCAGGCCAGAGTTATGTGATTACAGGGACCGCGAGGACAGAGGCCATTACAGAAGCACACATATCAGACCCCTGATGCCTCAGGCCGAACAGCGGAATTAGGACGAATTTAATTATGTAAGATTCACTGCAATACTTCCTCCACTTTATTTAATAATAAAGACCTTCTTCGGTCTTCAAAGAGCCCCTTCTCATTACACAATCCGACTGTCAAATGATTTTAATCTAATTAATTAAGAAATATTTTGACTACGTTAAGCATGTTTATCAATATTTTGAGAGAAAACCCATATAGAAATGATAAAAAGTGAGTTCACTTCTTTGTCTTAGTTTTTTAGGTTAAATATGACTGTTATCCTGTCCTTTTTCTTTTCAATTTCCTTGATTGCTAAATAGCCGTGGTGGAAAGAGTACTGAAAAATCACACTTAAGTAAAAGTACCATTGCTTGCCTAAAATTGTAGTGCAAGTACAGTAAAAGTATCTGTTGTGAATATTACTGAAAAAAGTAGACATTTCAAAAGTTCTCAAGAGTAGTGAGTATTGAGTATTACGCTGTAAAAAGCTGATGCATTTACATGTAACCTGTGCATGTGTGTACTGTAAACATATTTAGTTTGCATTTAGTTATTGCCCAGCAGGCACATGACGTCATAAGACATTAATATTAGATTAGATTTAGGTTGTGATGTCATGTGACCAAAATTCAACGTCTAGCCAGCATTTAAGGACATTATTTTGATGCCCAGTAACGACGTCAAATGACATTGTTATTTGGTTGATTTTTGGTTGTTTGAAAGTGAACAAAATCCAACGTCAAACCAACATTTTAAACCAACATCATATTGATGTCAAATACTGACATTTATTCGTCAGGTAAGGCAACCAAAATCCAACGTCTGACAGACGTCATAGTGGTAGCGTCCACACAATGTGAAGCTGTAACATCATTATTATAGGTTGGCCGTTAAGACATTGACGTCAGCCTGATGTGGGGTTCTGATGTCAACCGGATTTTCTTTTCTAAACAAAATGCAACCTCCCTATAAAATTGAGGTACAACATCAATCTGAAGCTATGTGGACGTCCTGTGCCTGCTAGATGTTTAAGGCCATTTCAGTCATCATACAGATCTGTCATCTTCTCATCAGTGACATGCTTCTAAACAGTTTCTGGGTCAATGTGTGTAAAGATTTTGGACATTTTCTTGAACACTTTTAATGCTTCTAACAGTTTGCTGCAATTATAAATCACCCATGTCCATTAGGTAGTTCATTATGAGGCGATTCACCTTTTATATGCGATTTTATTGGACAGGAATCACAGGACTGATTTTTCTAATCCCCATAGACAAGAAAAAATAAAGTAGTAACTGCAGGTTGAAGGAAAATAGTAAAGTAAAAGTACTGATACAGCACTAAAAATGTAAAAGTAAAAGTACACATTTTAAAAACTACTTAATATGTTACAGTATCTGAGAAACACTACTATTTACACTAGTCTGAGTATTTGTAATTAGTTACTTTACACCACTGGGAAATAGCAGTGTACATACATGTTATATACAGGGCTTAACATTAACACCCGCCAACCTGCCAAATGCAAGTTGATTTCAGCTTTGGCGGGTTAGACAGTCACTCCCACTAGCCACTTTAGCTGGTTGAAAATAATTTTTAAATAGTGGTTTTCTTAAAAGCAGTGTTCGACTATAAGGATGACAAAATGTGTGAATAAATGTGATCTTAGAATCGAGAAACAGCACGACTTACAACAATTGCTTTCATGCAAGCAATAGAAAGAAGGTGAATACAGAATGAGAGGATGATCAGTCGCGCAAACAGCTGATGTGATGCGCGCGACTGCTAAAGCGTGTGCGTGCTCCTGTTTCCCTGCTTGAAGCAACCGTGTCTGGAACGCAACTGTGATAGGTTCTCGTTCATTTATAGAACAGACAAAAAGTTATGCTAATGCACCCACAGTCTTGCTGCTTTCAAGAGCTCCAAATGTGCCTTTTTGTAAGTCTTTGTGTAAATCCCTCATTTTGAGTTCTAAAAAGTCATTTGAAATAAAAACTAATTGTAATGCAACGTTACAAAACCATGGCCCATTTGCTCATACACGACGCACAAAATGTGCAATAATTTAGGAGGCATGTGGACAAAACACAAAATCTAAATCAAGTAATTGTTGCATGTCATAGTCATATTTATACATATAAATGATATTTTCCCAACAAGAAATTTGTGGCTAGTAAAAATGCAGAAAGGCTAGTAACATTGGAAAACTACTAGACACTGTGGCTGGTGATCAGAAAAGTTAATGTCAAGCCCTACCTATATATATATGTTTGTGTTTTTTCTAGTCTAAATATCTAAAAAATAAAAAAAGCCTAAACCAAGAAGCATTTTCTGGAAAAGCAAAAAAAAAACTGTCATGCTGGTTTTAATGAGAAACTCACTTGATTTTGATCTATTATTTTTGAAACAAGATAATGTTTTTGCTTGTCTAGAACAGTGGTTCCCCAAGTGGGGGTTAAGAAACAATGGTGGTTCGAACGACAGTGTTGGGGGTCGCCTGGTGATTTCTGAAAAAATCTAATTCATTTTTATTAAACTATTAGTAGTACTTTGATCAATATTTTACAAAATATTAAAACACAGTAGTAGTTAATAATAAAAAAAATTATTGGATTGTGACCCCTTACGACCACAGAAATGTGCAACAATGGAAATCTAAAAGTGTGTAGATATTAGAGATCAGTCACCGAAAATGTATCAGCCGAAAATATATTATACCATTTAATGAACCCTCTCATTTCTACGCATATTTTATGTTAGCTGAGTTTATTTCAAATGAGTTTAATGAAAATGAAACAAACACTATTTATTTAGCTTCTTTAATTTCATTTACTACTGCTTTATTATTAAGACATTAACTGTTTATTATCACTTAAAAAGTATGTTTTTTTACATTCCTAATCCTACCCAATACCTAAACCCAACTACTATCTTACTAATAAGCAGCTAATTAGAGGTTTATTGAACAAAAATCTTAGTTAATGGTTCGTTAATGGTTTGTTAATAGCTTGAAGTGTACGTTAAAATAAAGTGACCCAAAAAGCATCAATAAAACAAGAAAGCATCTTTGAAATACTTAATCTAAAAGACCTATCTTCTAGCCAGTACTAGCCAGAAGTAATTTCACATATTAAAGGCCTTCTGTGACCCCACTTTCAGATCATATTCATTGTTATAAATTATTAAAGCAATCTGTCTATTAAAAACAATCTTGATGAATTTGGAAGCCTGCCATCAGCATTTTTCATGCACTGTCCATTTTCATTTAAAAATATATTGACAAGGCCTTAAAGCAGTCATATGGTGCATTTGTCTGGTGTTCCCAGAATGCATCTGTACATTTTCAGCTTAAAATACCTCACATTTTACATATTTTACATGTTTATGGCCATTTTTGGGTGAAAGTCAAAAGGTTTTCACATATTTTCACATGGTGCCTCTTTAAATGCAAATGAGCCTCTGCTCCTCAGAAGAGGGCGGAGCCTTCACCTCAGATTTGAGGTCATTATTTTGTTTAACCAAGGGGTAAAAATAGTATAATTTTCAGTTACCGAGTTAAATGTAAACAGTCCTACACGTTACTTCATATTATAATAAATAATAAATCATTACAAAGCAAAGTTTCAGTTTTAGGCCAATTTTATGCATCCTGAATTTGCATATGGCCCATAATATTTATGTAACTGCATACCCTCAGGAACAGACTTTGTGCTTTGCAGCTTTGCACATTTTTAGGCACTAAAGGAAGTGTAAGAAGCATAATCGAAGCCCTTTCAAAGAGCAAGTTAATTTCTCAACTCACCCGGACAGGAAAGTTGCATTTGCCCTTTCGCACAGCCTCTTCATCCGCCTGCCACTGGTGTGGTCGACTGGCCTCTGGCACGTAGGTGGGCTTCTTCCTGCGCAGGCTCTGACGCAGCTTATTCATCTCCACGCTCTCAAACTCTCTGGTGCTGAGGACAAGAAACAAGACACATCAACAAACAGCCCTTTTTCTAAATTAGAGACTATTAGTTAAATTTATCGTCAGGACAAATCCTGCTGAATGTTTTATACAGTTATTTACAGTCATGCTGGACAAGCGGGGAGTAATCACTCTGATTTGGATCAAAACCAAAATAAAAAATAGCAACACTAATTAAATCCAAACATATTTTTTGAGTATTATTATGGAATTAAAAGCAGCATGGCGTATTGGATTAAACTGAAATCGCAGAGAATGTATTGGCCTCTGTTTTCAAAACAATTGTTTGATGCCCAAGAGCCCTGTTTATGCAGCATAATTGGGTCATTCATTCTAGCCTTAATTTGCATTGGTAATTTCAAATTCAGAAAGCAAGGATGCTCGGAAGAAGGCAATTATTTAAAGAACCACTGTAAAAAATACAAATTTGAGTTAACTTAAAACTTTAAAGCAACATAAAGATTTTGAGTTTATTAAGCTTCAGTGGTTAAAGTTGTGGCAATTTTTTTTTTTTTATTGACTGAAAAGGCTGTTTAAAGTAAGGTATACTTTATGGAATAATTTGGCATAACTTCATGCACTGAAGCTTAATAAAATCAAAATTGCTTTCAAATTTTAAGTTAACTTAGCTTTAAAGTTTTTACAGTGGTAAATGCTCAAATTAAAAAATCTAAATTCAAAGTCCCCTCAACTGATTTTTCTTAACTTTCATTGAACAAACAGTTCCAAACATGCAGTTAAATAGTGTTTATGACTAAATTCAACTCTGAGCTCACAAACATGTCCACCTAACTTATCATTTTAAACTGAATTAACAATTTGTAAGTTGGATTTTTACAGTGCAGCTATTGCTTTTTATCATGAAGTTTAAGGAGAATATTTAAATTTCATTTCAGTGAAATATAAATATATATAATTATATTTCAGTGTGGTTACATTTTTCACTGCTGTAAGTGCAAACACTGACGAGCAAATCCATCGATGCGCAGCTCCACAAGTCCCAAACCAAGCAAGCCAGTGGTAAGGAACAAACTTCACCAAATGACTTCACTTCAAAGTGAAGAAAAAAAAAAACCTTAAGAGAAACCAGGCTAAGTTAGGCACAACCATTTCTCCTCTGGCCAAACTGCTTGTGCAGAGCTGCAGTCTAGGCACAGGAGGCTAGAGACGCTGGACGCCTTTTGTAGAGAAGAGTTCCAAAAAAAGTTACAATGGGTTTTTAAGTGATGTTATCTTGTCGCTTTTAAGACAAGTGGTTTACTCACTTTTTTAAAGTGAATAATCACTTTTTACAGTGTACATGCTATTACAGTATTTCAATTTGTTAAATATTATTATATAATGTAACATATAATGTAACTGTGTATTTTCAGTTACCATTTAAATTTTTATTTTAGTAATTTTGTAGACTTTTGAAAACTATTTAAAACTAGTTTTAATTTTAGTTTCAGTTTGACTTTATTTCAAATACCTCAGCTTAAATCCACAGTACATTAGATAAAACTAGATAACTAGATTAAAGACGCATCTCTTTACATTAGCATACACATAAAACACAAATGCTTTTGAAATCCAAATCCTCTAAAGGATTGTTAGTCTGCATCATTTAGGGCAACCGGAGCTGGGAACACTTCCCAAAAGACATTATAAATTGAACGACATCTGCGCTTATCTTAGTCTGTTTTTATTTTTCCAGAGGTTTCCATAATCCTGGACCAGGCCGTATCCTGAGCAGATGCTGTGGTGGTCATGGAGGAGTGAAGAGCATAAGACTGATTCCTGTAAGACTCCAGTGACAGAAGGGTCTTTGCATTGATCCTGAAGGGCCAGCTTGTACCGCAGCCTACTCCCATTTGCAGCTTCTCCATGATGGATGTCCAGTGTTCTTCAGCCTCCAGTGCCTAGACTGCAGTTCTGCCAAAGAAGTTTGGCCAAAGGAGATATGGTCGTGCCCAACTGAGCCTGGTTTCTCTAGAGTTTTTTTCCCTTCATTTTCATCAATTGGTGAAGTTTGTTCCTCGCCACTGGCTTGCATGATTCGGGACTTGTGAAGCTGCGCATCGATGGATTTACTCTTAAGTCTTTGGACTTTCAGCAGTGAAAATTAAACCACACTGAACTGAACAAAACTTCAACTCTGAAAACTGGACTGACACAGTCTCAATTTATTATAACTTCTATGTTAAGCTGCTTTGACACCATCAACATTGTAAAAGCGCTATAGATATAAAGAAAGATGAAAAGACACTATATTCTTACTTTTTATGTAAAAAACAAAAACAAAGGCTAGTCTTAAAAGTTTAATGTCATCATTACCATCTTCTCGCACAATTTGCCATTGAATATTCCCGTTGAGAAGTTGTAAACCGCAACACAAACTGTTGTACGGTCTTCTTGATGTAAACCACATGCCACCATTACTTTTATAGCATCACGTCAGTGTCTACAAGCGCACATTTCCCAGAAGCCTGAAGCGTTGAGGCTAACAGGTGGCAGGCGCGGAGCACCGGAAGTCCTGTACCATTACACATGTCTGGCCCGCAGCCCAAATACCCGCACCCATTACACACCCGCATACTCAACTCAGGCCACATGCTGCTACATATGAGTGTGCTTTATTTCTCTGGCGTCTGGGTCTCTCCAGAGGGTTTATTCTGCTCCGGCACGTGCCTGTTGCTGAGCTTTTAGACCCTTTACACCTGCCGTCTGTCCAGGAACAAACAGCCGAATAAACCACAAGGCATTTTTAATGAGTTTATAATGAGTTTATAATATATATTATACTTTATAATAACTAATAAAGAGGAGGATAATTATACTTATCGCAATTTACACTACAGGGCTGTTCAATTCTTCATTCTGAATGATTGATGAACATTCTAAGGTGTGAAATAATTTCAGATAAATGCACAGTTAAAGTAGTTCCAGACAGGTTTTGACTGCATTAGGCCCTGATATATATATATCAATATATCAATATATATCAATATAATTATACCAATATATAATTATTGACTTGATTTAAAGTTGAAGTCAGAATTATTAGCCCCCTGTTCCCAATTCCTGTTTAACGAAGAGAAGATTACTTCAACTAGGGTTGTAACGGTATGAATTTTTCACGGTATGATAATCGTCTAAAACAATACCACGGTTTGACGGTTTCGCGGTATACGGTATGTTACAAAATAATAGAACAGTGAAGCAAATTTGACTTTTTCCAAATAATATATTTTTAGTTACTATCAACAACACCACTTACAATGAACAAATAAAAATAAGAAAATAATAAATAATGTGTCAAAGTCCAAATAAAGTCCAAATAAACATGGTGCAAATCCTCAGTAAAAAATAGATATAAATATTTACTATACTATAAATAGTTACATAACGAAACTAGATTCAATATGGAACATCCCTAGATTTTATGTGCCAGCAAGGATATGGTTGTCTATGGATATGGTTGTCTGCAATGCAGACAAACAGCTGCATCTTCATTTGCGTCTTTTAAAAACAGCAAGAGCAGCAGTTCGTCTTTGCTGTGTAACTGTTTTGTCATGTTTCTGTGCTGCTGTGCATGCAAAAGTACTTAGTATGAGAATTATTTCATGCAAAACTTTTTTTTGCGTTTTATTTAGCCGCGCATAAATGTATGCCTTTCTCTCATTCCGTGTTGTTCAAAAAGCTTGGTCCACAAACAAAAGCGAAACCTATGCTTATTGGTTTTGATATAGCGAGTTTGAACCAATCTGGGCATGGAGGAGGGACAATGCATCAATGTATCATGTCTGATTTGTCCGGAGACACAGTGACGAGCGTTTCTTTGTCAAATCAGCGTTGTCAAATGTTGATGACGTAACCGCACTGATTCCGGAGCCTCTGAAAGTCCGCGAATGTTATGTGATACAGCACTGGAAAGCTGAGATTCCCTTCTTTATGCCAATCTTTGAATTGTATGAATCGGATCAGCGGATCAAAAGTTATTAAACATTTAAGAGCAATACTTATTTTTAGCCGCGGGCGGCTGTCTCGGTCTTTAAAGGTTAAAACCGTTGATATGCAATTGTTCATGGTATGATAATCGTGCACGTTCAAATCGTGGTAAACCGTCATACCGGTATATTGTTACAACCCTAACTTCAACACATTTTTAAACAAAAATTTTAATAACTCATTTCTAATAAATGATTTATTTTATCTTTGCCATGATGACAGTAAATAATATTTTACTAGATATTTTTCAAGACACTTCTATACAGCTTAATGTGACATTTAAAGGCTTAACTAGGGTATTTAGGTTAACTAGGCAGGTTAAGGTAATAGGGCAAGTTATTGTATAACGATGGTTTGTTTTGACTATCGAAAAAAGGGGCTAATGATTTTGACCTAAAATGTTTTTTAAAAGATTTAAAAAAAACTTTTATTCTAGCTGGAAAAAAAACAAATAAGACTTTCTCCAGAAAAAAAATATTATCAGACATACCGTGAAAATGTCCTTGCTGTGTTAAACATCATTTGGGAAACAAAATTTTAAAAAAAATCTAAGGGGGGCTATTAATTCTGACTTCAACTGTATATCTGGTGATATGAACATTTTAATTACATTTATTAGAGATAACACCCATTGCTCGGCTTAATTTAATACAATGGCCAAAAAGATGACCAATGCTTCTGCGAGAGGAGAGGAACAGGAGGGACTTCCGAGATTCTGCTCCACTTTCTGGATTGATCTAACAGCTGAACGGCTGCCAAAGTTACAGATCAGCAGAGAGCGAGAAGACATTTGGAGATAGAGAACAGGCAAAATGCCAGAGAGAGAGAAAGAGAAGAGACTTTATGAGGAGAAGAAAGAGGGAGCTTGAGCTGTTGAAGGGGATGGAGATGAGCGCTAAACACACTCGTTGAATCCAATTGAGGTCACTGTCCTAATGTGTGTCGCTCACACACTAATGTCCTGACTGATGCTGCAACACCGATCGTCAATGCTTGAGA